GGTCCTGGTTCCCCCGGGACTCCAACCCAGAACCCTCTGGTCCTGGTTCCCCCGGGACTCCGACCCAGAACCCTCTGGTCCTGGTTCCCCCGGGACTAGAACCCAGAACCCTCTGGTCCTGGTTCCCCCGGGACTCCAGCCCAGAACCCTCTTGCTGGGAGGCAACAGTGCTAACCACCACGCCACCGTGCCGCCCAGTATGGCGTCATATTTATGTCAAATGTTCACACGCGCAAAAATTAACCTTCCCACGCGCAGATACAGTATTCACGCACAAATTCAACAACCGAGAGTTGCACAAGTTTCTGCGAGCAAGCGCCTGGTTTTTTTCTCAAAGGATAACTCTGCTCGCGGAGCGCTGTTTTGCGCACGCAGAGGATTTCTGCTCGCTCGAGTCTACAGGACTTTTGACAATTTGGGGGCGGAAACCAAGGAGGGCACTGACCCTCTTATGATTGGTCACTTTGGTCGTGATTACAACCACAGGGAGGTCCTTGTACCTTGATTGACAGCTCCCATTACAGGAAGCACGGAGTCGGGTTAACTTACCACTGAAGAAGAGTGGGGTAAGTAAATGAATTAGAATGAGATTTCTAATATACATAAAATTTCTCTGACTGCGTATAAAATGCTGCGCAGGTCAAAGTTAAATCAATTCATTTACCTAATTTTTGCGCGGGAAGGTTAATTTTGCGCTTGTGAACATTTGACATAAAAATGACGCCATAGCAGAGGCCGACCGGCTGACCACAGGAGAACCGATGCTGGAAACTAGCCGCAGGCTAACTAGGGATGGGGATCGAAACCCGGTTCTATCAAGGACCCGGTTCCACTTTTTTCAAAACCCGAAAATCAATACCGCTTGGGCTTATCGATACCACTCTCGAGTCTGGTGGGTTTTTTTATTGTTACAATAGTAATTGTGAAATCCGTGTTGAAATCGGCTGCATACAAGCTAGTTAGCTTGAAAAGTAAATAAAGTTTCAGACGTGTGTTCAGATTGGCTCAGTAAAACGACAATTAGATTATCACGATGCGTTCAAGTGTAACGTAAAGAAAAGGGAAATTGAGTTTTTGGCGAGAAACATGAGTAATACAGTTGTATACTGCTCTAATTATTTTGAATATATAATTAAACTACTGATGCCAACATTTATTAAAAATTACATTTAATTTAAAATACAATTATTTATTTGCTAAATATTGTTGCATCGTCTTTCCACCAAATAACAGAAAAGTATGGATAGTGGTATCGATAAAGACTCGGATCGATAAGGAGCATCGATAAAGGTATCGATATCAATAAATATTAACGATCCCCATCCCTAGTGCTAACCACACTAAGCTAGCCCCGTGCTAACCACACACCTGTGCCTGAGCTTGATGGCCAAGCTCTCGACCTCCGGCTGGCTGTGGAAGCAGGAGAAGTCCATGCTGACCTCGCCGTGGCGGCTGATTCCTCCAGGTGACGAAACGTTCCCAGACTTGATGGTGTTCCTGAAGATCAAGTGGCTGCTGTTTGCCTGCAGGTTCACATACAGAGGGGGAAATAAGTATTTGACCCCTTGCTGATTTGAGCAAAGTTTTTACCATTAAATTATGCAAAAGGTGTCAGACGCAAAACATTTCAGAAACCCTATGAATTAAATATGATACATTTGACACAAGAGAGTCTACTCTTTCTTTTGGTGTGTTTGGTGTTTACATAGTCATAGCACAAACTATTCTGTGGCTCTTGAAAAATCAGTCAAAATTCTCAAAAAACTCTGGCAGTGAGCGACTCTCTGTTCTGAAAATGGCTGCCAGTCAATGAGTTAAAGATGCAAAAGGATTCAGATCAAAAACATTTCAGAAACCGTATGTATCAGATATGATACAAATGGCATCATAGGGTTGATTCTGTGCCGTTCCTCTGTGTCTGCTAAAGGCTCCTCAGGGTTTCCGGACACCTACCTGGATCACCGTACCACAGGAGT